CGTTGTTCTTTGGGGGTCGTATTTTTTAGGGGGGATCGTTTTTGTTTATTTTATCGTGTTGATGTTTTGTATGTTGGTCTGTACGTTTCACCAGGACTATTACTATTCATTCACCAATATCAGGGTACACAGTCTTCAAGAGTCTAGTGACCACGGTCTGCCAACAATGACCTCATCTTCCTGCTCCTACTCTTCCTGCTCCTCCTCCTCTTCTTCCTCCTTTCTTCCCTCCTTCAACACTCTCCCACACACATTCATCAAGAGAGAGAGAGAGAAAGAGAGAGAGAGTGTGTGTGTGTGTGTGTGTGTGTATAAAAAGATTAAAGGCAGGTTGGTCTGTATTTGCCTCTTCTGTTCTTGCTGTACCAGGAAATTGGATCTTGGGGAGTGACAGTGAGGGTCAGGGCGTTACAGTGAAGGTCAGGGCGTTACGGTGAGGGTCAGGGCGTTACGGTGAGGGTCAGGGCTTTACGGTGAGGGTCAGGGCGTTACGGTGAGGGTCAAGGCGTTACGGCGAGGGTCAGGGCGTTATGGTTAGGGTCAAGAGTTACGGTGAGGGCTGTATACATGGTGAGGGCTGGGGCATGGTGGGGGGCTGGGGACATTACGGTGAGGGTCAGGCACATGGCAGGAGGGGTCAGGCGTTACGGTGAGGGCTGGATACATGGTGAGGGTCAGGGCGTTACGGTGAGGGTCAGGGCGTTACGGTGAGGGTCAGGACATTACGGTGAGGGTCAAGACGTTACGGTGAGGGTCAGGGCGTTACGGTGAGGGTCAGGGCGTTACAGGAAGGTTAGGGCGAGGGTCAAGGCGTTACGGTGAGGGTCAAGAGTTACGGTGAGGGCTGGAAGTTACGTAGGAAGGTTAAAGGTAAGGGATGAGATTTCGTCTTGGCTTCATGTTTATAGGAGGAGAGAGAGAGAGAGAGAGATCAGGTTATGGAAGTCTGTGTAGTAATTTATAGTGTCTGTTTACTGTGTGTTTTGGGGCTTCGTGAGAGCTGATGTGACCATATGTATACTCTCTATCTCTCTCTCTCTCTCTCTCTTGGTTGCTTTCTCTCTATATAGCTATCTATATCTTCTTTATTTTTACTTCTCTTTGTCTCTTGTCTCTCCCTTTCTCTCTACGTCTCTCTCTCTGCCGCATTATTTCTCATTTGCTTTCTCTCTCTCCCTCTCTCTCTCTCTTTCTGTCTCTCTCTTTCTCTCTTTCCGTCTGTTTGTTTGTCTCCCCTTCTCTCCTCCTGTCTCTCCCTTCCTCTCTCCCCATCTCTATCTCTCTCTCCCTCTCTCTACACAGTTCTGAGGATCATGGATCAGTCTCGTCTCTCTAGTAATCAATTTTGTCACACGATTCGCCAAACTTATTTTATTTTCCCTTTGAGAACGATGACTTAACTTTTTCGTCCTGAGGGGCTCACTGCAGTACTGTCAAATGTCGTCCCTGTTTCTACCCCTCCAGGTTAATGTTTGGATTTATCTGGGGAAATATTTTTAGCTTTTCGGTTTTTTCCCCTCAATTGTTTCGATTTTTAGGGGAAATTTATGAGTTTTAGGGGAAATTTATGAGTTTTAGGGGAAATTTGTGAGTTTTAGTGGAAATTTATGAGTTTTAAGGGAAATTTATGAGTTTTGAGCGGGTAAATTTCTTTGTGTTTTATTATACTAATTGAATTTATTGAAACAGATCAGATACCTTTATTTTTAACAACTCGTAAGGGATATCAGACTGTGTCGTGTCGGTGTCGTGTCGGTGTCTTGTTGTTTTGTTTTGTGTCGTCGTGTCGTGTCGTGTTTATATACCGGAGGGAGTATGACAACTCTTTCCTCACCGCGCCTCTTCTCATACACGGACGGCCACAAGACTGATCCAAACTTTAGTGTCTTCAATGATATTTCTCTTTACAATTTTTTTCATTTTCACGAAACTATTCAAACACCCTTTCTTATCTCCCTTCTTTCATCTCCCTCTCTCTCTCTCTCTCTTTACCTCTATATACCTTATATTCTCATATATTCGTATATAAGTAACTCTTATGCTTCTCTACTTATGTTTTCCAAGTCAAGGTTCTTTCTTTTCATTTCCTTTCATATAGATTGTATTCTCAGTTTCAATGTTCTTACCTTTCTGAAGTATACTTTGTTTTGTGTCTTTCTTATACATGGGTTAGTCTGGGGAACCATGTTATTCTTTGTATAACACTTTTTATACTTACAAGGGGTAGCTGCCACCACCCAGACTTTTCATTATATAACAGAACTCATGGAAGGGTTTTGGGTAATGTGGTAGATGTATAGGCACGTGAGTAAGTATTATTTTCTGGGAACCAATGTTTAGAAGGAGTAGAGTGGTGATACTCAGATTACTAACTCAATATTTATTAATACAGTGAGTGGAGAAGATGCATCTTAGATTCACTCAGGCTAAACAGAACCGAAATTAACTTATTAAGTCATCAAACACTTCAAGAACTTATTACCTCATTAAACACCTCCAAATACTCATTACTTTATTGGACACTGTTGTAGTATTTCTGTGACAAGTAAGATTTAGAAATGCTTACACACTGTCAATAACCCTGGACCCGCAGGTCTTACTTTAACAAGGAACAAATTACCTTCTCAATTCGTGGTTAGAACATCATACTCTCAGGTTATTCTTTCATGGGTACTACAGATGACTACATAACACACTGGGCAATTCCACAATTAGTAACATACCATAATTCTTATCACTTCACAAGGAACCACCTGGTACCTTGAACTCTCATTCAGGGGTTTAATACTTAACCCGGGATACTATATTTCTGCTAGTTATCCCTCCAAACATGGGCCGACACTGCTCCATGCAATAGATGAAGTACCATCTCCAGGTGGAGTCAGCGGGCACAGTTGTTTACAGAGACCGCCAAGCTGAAGGCTCGCTCGCTAGGTGCACTCAGGGAGGTTGACTCGTTACACACTGGCAGAGTGGTGAGGGCGCTTCCCGGGGGAATCATGTCCTGGGATTCTAAATGCGCCCTTAGAGACAGTCTTCAAGAACCATGGTGCCCATAGGTAGTTATCGACCCTCAGGAGAGTGGCTGTAGACGTGGAAGAAGAGTCACGAATGCGTGATTCTCCCTCGTGTAAAGGTATATACGTGCACCCGCTGGGCAGCTTGGGCCTCCATATTCATGCTAGAAAGGTCGATCTTACCAACAACATACTGTAGTGGAATTCTCCCCTACAAACGCTGTTTGTCGTTGCCTAGCCGACCCCACCAATTCCCCAGTGTATGCCTCGTGGTCTCGGTCAACCAGCGTCGCCATACACCACGGAGCGGGGGTCAACTGCTAAGCCACGCCTACCCCCGCTATTTAAGACCTGACCTCGTGGTGATCTGTCTCTCTTTCTACCTACACCAACCAGCCAGCAACACCTCCGCCTGCCTGGCGGTCCTCTCTCCCGCTGGCGAGCATGGCGACCCACAAGCTGTCCTTCTCTGAGCGTCCTCACCAACCAGCTCCCTCTACATCACGCTTGTAACCATGCTGCCTTCCCAGCACCAAGCTGCATTGTACATCCAATACAACATGTATACAGAGAGCACATTGTGAGTTTCCTTTCTCCATCCCATCCTGAGTGTGAACCAAACATCTGGAACCCCACAATACCTTCTCTACCATTTTGGATCACCGTATACTTAATTGTGAACTCCGGTGTTCCGGATCAGGGTAATTTCCTATGTCTATTCATATAATCTAATCAGAGGTTGAGCTTGCCAGGAAAAGGTGGAATATACACGTTGATAACAACAATTCTGCAAGCTCAGGCCTGAGGCGGACAAAGAGCTATTCACAGGGAGACGTTAGATCTTGGAGATTATACCAGTTGACAGAATAGTTCAGGAAATTAATGACTTTCTTAAATAGATAACTGACACTAATTAAACTATAAACATCAGATTCTCTGATGTCGGGGCGACAAAATGATCTAACTTCAGGCGCGATCAGAAGCTCATGGATATTCTCAGGGAACGAAACCGATGGGTATCGTTTGTCCTGGCAGACTCAACACTCACTTACTTGACACGTCTTATTAATAATAAGGACAGTTGAAGCGTTCAACACCACTCACAATGGATCTTGAATGTTTCAACTGTAAACAGACATATCTAAGCTGACTCTAAACCAGGGTGTTCTCTCTCACATTCAAATTCATTTTATAGAGAGGTTGGTTTCAGTAAGTCAGAGAAAATGGGATAACGGAGGACTGAGGTGTCTTGAAGTGATGAGAAAACGGACTCCTCAGATGGAGGACTCAAACGAAAGCCGAGTTACATGTTTTGTGGGCTATTGAGCGTAATATGAATCATTTGATTTTGGCGCTAACTGACGTGTAAGACCGTGGTCATTACAATACCACCTCCAAAGTCCTGAAGAAAGCCAAAGAAAATCCCCTCATGCAACCTATATACCTCAATCTGAGTGAAGGATTATCTTTCACAATTCTAACCAGTATTATTCATGCACACATCAACAACATTGCAAAACCAGGATTCTTTGGAAAAACGACCAGGGAAATGTTTGCTGCAAACAATCTGCCGGAGGTGAAATTTCCAGACGACGCCCCCTCAACAGAAACATTTAAAATTGTCACCGAGAATCACCTAGGAATAACCGAACCACAGGAGCACACAACCAAACTAGTCACAGAAGAAAACGTCATGGAAATAGACCCATCAGCCAAGCAGCCACACCACACCACAAATCAGATTCCACAACTCAGCAAACAGAGAAACAACAACCTGCAAAAGCTGACCCAACCAAAGCGAAATCAAGAAAAGAATCCTACTCCGGCCATCGTGCCCCCCATCTTCACCAACCAATGTGCAGGCAGCAGACCTAGGAAATGAGATCGGTATCCGCTTCTACTCAGTCAACACACCACCTACAATAACAAATGATAGACTTCTGCAGGAAATCAAGGAAGGCACAGTCAAATTCACCTACGAAGATGTCAGGGTAAAAGAAATCCTACATAGACCAAATGGTAAATGCAGGACTAATAAACACCAAATATAACAAAATTGAAAGAGTAGATATAACTAAGTTTAAGAAAATCAGAACGGGATTAAAGGAGGAAAGGAATAGACACTCGCCAGGAGACACACGAGCCAGCAAACACCCTACACCAAGTTCTCGGGATTCACGACTACTCAAAACAAATCATTAAAGATAATTCAACACAACGTCCTTGCCTGGACTCTGGCGAGGAAAACAGAACTTACTAACATATACAGCACAATAGACCCAGACATCATCCTTATCAACGCACACGGGCGAAAAGACAACGAAAAAATAAAAATATTTAATTATCACGTCTACCAAAAAATATCCACGAAGAGTTACATGACGGGATAGCAATAGCAATAAAAGGAACGATTCAACACAAAATACTGTAATTGACAACTTCCAAGGTAACTTCTTGGCAGTAGAAATAAACACCACCAAAGGATCAACAATAATAGGAACATCATACCTACCATTCAGAAGACCAATATTCCCGACAGGCGACCTCCTAAAACTTACCAGGCGAAACAGCCCGGCTTACTTCCTAGGCGACCTGAACTCTCGACACCCAACCCATGGACATCACAACAGAAACCCCGCTGGAGTTGTACTGCACAACCTAATTGAGCAAGGCAGCATTACACACCTAGGCCCAGACTTTCAAACATTCATAACACCGGGAAATTCTGGGAATCCCGACATAATTCTGACAAACAGACACCATCATTTTCACACACACATAAAACCTGGACCCGCCAGCACCAGTGACTACATACCCATAATAGCAACTATTTCCACATCTCCAATACAAATTCCCTCGACACCAAGATATTCATTTAATAGAGCAAACTGTGAAAGTTTCAAAACAGCTCTCAACACCGACGAAACATTAACTCTCCACAACAAAAACACCAACGAGATCGATACTGCCTTAGAAACCTGGTATTCGAAAATCACAATAGCCATGAAAAATAACATCCCAAAAACAACATACCGCACACTACCACATGCACAACTAACACACGAAGAAAAAATCATCCAAACCAGGTTCACCAACCTACATGAATTTATAAAAACATATGGCTGGAGCCCACACATCACTGCATTATATAGAAACCTTAAAGAAGAACTACTGGAGAGATGCAAAGTAAAACACGACGAGAAATGGAACCAGCTAATAGCCAACATACAGGCAGACTACAGAAACCCAAAAGCCTTTTGGACTAAAATAAAAAATCTCATGGGAACCAACTCAGAGGAGAGCAGCTACCTTATAGACAACAATGGCAAGAAGATTACAGAACCTAAACTCAAGGAACCAATATTCAGAACATTCTGGAGCAGCATCTACCAAATCACGGATCAGGACAACCGAAACTTCTGCAGAGAAACAGAACACGTGGTTGAAACACACTTGAACCAAAACACAGACAAATGGCAACAATCCAGGACAATCAACCTCAACACGTTAGATAATGACGATCCACTAATTGCTCCAATAACTACACAGGACATCACAAAAACAACTGCCAGCTTCAAGAATAAATCGCCAGGAATAAGTCAAATAAACAAAACTGTGTTGCAAAACATACCACCACCAATGATCAAACAGCTTGCAGACATCTTCAATGCATCAATAGCAACCGGAAAGGAAAGAACCCAACTACAGACCCATTTCTCTCCTCGAAACACCTGGCAAAATCCTTGAAAAAATAATAAACCAGAGGTTAAGAAACAACCTAGAGTATGAAGACAAATACAACCATAGACAACACGGCTTCAGGAAAAACCGAGGCACCAACACTGCAATAGCCCTAATATATGAAGCCATCGCAAATGCAGCCACCAACAGAAATCAATGTAACATAGTTCTCAGAGATGTCAGCAAAGCCTTCGACAAAGTATGGCATGAAGGGCTCAAATACAAGATCATTCAACTCAACATGCCACCCAACATCACGGCTCTCCTCTGCAATTTCCTTGACAACAGACAAGGCAAACTCATCATCGACAACTATACAGGTCAAAACTTCACCCTCTACAGTGGAGTACCCCAAGGCAGCAACATATCACCAACACTATACACCATATATACAGCGGACATGCCCAAGCCAAGAAACTCAGAGTACATTGCATACGCAGACGACGTCACACAAATTATACAATACCCAGGGAAATCAAAACAAATGATGGCAATCAGAACTAGCCGAGAAATAGAAACCATAAAAAATTACGAAAGGAAATGGAAAATTAAAACTAACATACAAAAACTGAAGATAATTCACATAGCTAAAACTAGACCATACCCAATCATAGTCAACAATCAAAACATTTCATACGCAGAAAATGGGAAAATCCTCGGCCTCAAAATCACAAGGAACGGCATACTACCACACATCACAGAAAGAATTGCAAAAGCCAGGGTCCAACTAACTAAACTCAGAAGATTCCGCAAATTAAACACCAATATACAACTACACCTTTACAAAACACAAGTCAGACCACACCTGGAATATCCCCCAATTCCACTAAACACTATAACAAAATCAAATAAACTCAAAATACAAGCAGTCCAAAACATAGCCCTCAGAAGAGCAGCAAAACTCAGACCACCATATACAAAAAATTCCAGCGAGCTACACACAGAACATAACCTAACCACAATCAACATCACAACACATAATCAAGCATTAGCAATATGGGAAAAACTACAAGAACTAGAAGACCCCATATTCCAACAACTAATGCAAGAAGACAATACCAGAACACACAACTGGTGGACAAAGAGCATAACATTTGACACCACAGAACCAGAACCAATATACACGAAATAAAAACGAAGAATACTTAAAGGACACGGAGGGCCCCCCTCCCCAAACACCACAATCTGGCTTAGCTTAGATTAGCTCGGCTTCCCTTCCCTTGCTGTAGTGGACATGGACTGCTGGCATGGCAGATTTAACCTTGTCCCCGCAAGGTGGACAGCCCACCTGCTATCAATCTCCCTCTTTATTTCCCACTTCCCAACCTTCACCTTCCTCCTACACCGTCTTCTATCTTCCTGAGCCAATAGGCTCTCTTCTCTCCATCACATCGGATCGGATCGGTTATGCTACTACTTGTCTGCCACCGAGACGACCCTACTTACCTATAGAAGTCTTATTAAAATTGGTTAACAATAGTCACCCTATGTACATCTTAGGAGACTTTAACGCCAGACACTGGATTTTCGACAATACAAATAATAACGCCGTGGGTAACGCCCTTAATCAATTAATAAGCCTAGGGAAAATCAATCATCTAGGTCCTAACTTTTCAACCTGGATAAATCACAATACACAATTGACACCAGACAGAATTTTTACCAACAACAAAACCTTTTTCAATTATCATATAAAGCAAGGACCTCTCACGGGCAGCGAACCATCTACCAACTATATGCAATATATACCTTAGAGACACCTCAACCAACCCCCTTTAGCGAATATGTAATGTTTGCTGATGATATCACTCAAATAGTATCATACCCAGGGAAATCAACCCAATTTATGGCACGCTACACGGCAACTGCAATAAAAAAACATAAATGACTTTGAGAAAAAATGGATAATCAGGACAAATAAGAACAAATTCAAGATAATACCAATAGCCAAGATCAAAACAAGTCCAGTAATAGTCCACCATGAACTATATCCATGCGACACTGAAGGCAGAATGCTTGGACTAAAACTAACAAAAAGAGGATATATAACATATATAAAAGATAAAGAACGACAGGCAAGAATAAGACTATAAAAAATAAAACGAGTTAAGAATCTTAGCATAAATAACAAAAGAAAGATATATATAGCCCTTGTCAAATCAATTATGGACTACCCACTCATCCCATTGACCACCCTTAGTAAAACGAGCATTAAAGGTTACAAACAGTACAAAATATAGCCCTCAGAGTTATTTATAACATAAGATATACAGACCACATCAATAATGAACAGCTACACAAGAGAGCAAACCTCCTAGCAATCAATGTAGATATACACAACAAGGCCGCAAATATTTGGAACAAAGTGACTGAACTTAACACAGAAACTTACCAAAACTGGATAAATAATATAGATAATGAAGGAATCCAAGAACACAGTTGGTTTAAATCAGCCAGGAAGAAAGTAATTGAACTATCTCCTACCCCAATATACACATAAAACATGAATAGAGAGAATAAAAGATGAGAGTGACCTATCAGCTTCATTAAGAACCTGGCAGGCTTCTCCAAACGGGTGTGCTTTAGACTAACACAACTAACACCTAACTAACACATTAGAAAAAAAAATGTGACTACCCTCCCAGCCACACAAGGACTTGGGAGAACTCACTAACTCCACCACAGTAACATCACCTACATGACTCTGACCTATATATACTGCTAATGAATATGATGTATTTCTTTGTGTATGAACCTCTGCCCTGCGTGGCAGTGAACAGTAACATCACCTACATGACTCTGACCTATATATACTGCTAATGAATATGATGTATTTCTTTGTGTATGAACCTCTGCCCTGCGTGGCAGTGAGAAGTGATACCACTCTCAGTGTCAAGACCTGACTGAATTACTCAGAATAGGCAAACTGTACTTCAAGCTTTGTCAATAAATTTGTTAAACTAAAAAAAAAGGAAAAAAAAAACCCACGAAGTAAGAAGTATAATGTATAATTAGCAGCACCATATAAATAAACCAATACTAATACAAAGCTCTGACCACCCGAAGGAGCAAACAAAAAAAAACAATAAAAGAAAAAAAATCGATAAGATGAAGCGATCTGGTTGAGCCCAGATTCTTTCTACTCCTACAGTATTCCAGTTTCAGCACTTTTCTTCAATTCTTAATAATCTTCTTTCACCTCATAACTCATGACTCCAATGCCAATACTGGTTCCGGACAAGAGATCCCCACCTGCGCAACAAACAAGAAACAAAAAATAAAAACACAATGAACAACGAAAAACACAGAAAACTTACCATCATACAACACAACGTCCGCAACTGGGAAATAAATAAAAACAACCTTGCAAACACATACCTCAGCGTTGATCCGGATATAATTTTAATAAATAGTCACGGCAATTCAAATTCCAAGAAAATAAATATATTTGGATATACAACCTACCAAAGAAATAAAACAGAAGAATTAAATGATGGCGTGGCCATTGCTGTAAAACACAGACTCAAACATCAAATCATCGACGATTTCGAGGACGAATTCCTGGGAATCAAAATCACTGCCACATTTGGAGAAATAGCAATAGCCACAGCGTATTTACCGCCAAGAAGGAACTACCTACCGGCCCCAGATTTAATAAAACTATTGAACTACAACTGCTCAACATACATAATAGGAGATCTGAACCCAAGACATCCAATATTCGGTCACGGAAACAGGAACAGGGTAGGCACTGCACTGCATACCATAATGAACACAGGGAAGATGATCCACCTAGGACCACACTTAACCACATTCATTGGCATTAACAAAACAACAACCCCAGACAAAGTCTTCATCAATAACAAGGCTTTCCTGAATTACCATATAAAACAAGGACCACTAACTACCAGTGACCGCATCCCAATGATAATAAAACTATCTACAAGCCTAATCCAAGATCCAACAACCCCACGTTTCCAAATGCAAAATGCAGACTGGGAAGGTTACAGGAAACACCTAGAACAAGTCAATATCCCAGATCTCCAAGGCAAAATACTAGAAGATATAGACAACGAAACATATACCCTTATACTTAACATCAAAAAGGTAATGGAGAACAACATACCAATCACAACATATCGAATTCTACCTCACATCAGGACAACTCATGAATTGCGAATGGTGTACATCCAAAACTATCCACCAACAACAGAGCTTATTAGAAACTTGAGGCAAATACAACAAAAGCTAAGAGATGAAAGTCTGGCAGTGCACCAACAGATATGGAACGAACTAATAAACAACCTGGATACCACAAGAAATAATAAGAACTTCAGGCAGAACGTAAACACAATTATATGAAAAGACAAACCCAACAAAGGACATATAAGACCAAAACTGAAAAAAAAACTCTTTGAAGAAAAAGACATAGAATCCGCATACAGGAGAGAATGGAAAAAAAAAGTATTTCAAATATCAGAAGAAGAAAATGAGCTAATTTGACGAGGAACACGAGAATCATATCGGCAGAGAGAGAGCTGAAAAAAAGAAAGCAGGATAACCCCCAGACCATGTGTTGGACAAAACCAGGCTCAACACAATAGAACCAATGACAGAAGGAGAACTGCTAAACTACATCAGACACACTAAAGAAAAAGCACCAGGATTCACAAAAATCACAAAAAATATGATTCTATACCTACCCAACAACTGCACACAAGGCATCCTTGAAATATTAAGCTCAGCATTGGCAAATGGATACTTCATTGACCCATTCAAAAACGCAAAAATCATATTCATACCGAAACCAGCCAAAGACCTCACACAAGTAATTAACTACAGATCGATTTCTCTACCTGAAGTTATAGGAAAACTATTTGAAAAGGCAATAAACATTAGAATCAGAAAAAAACAGGAGCGAAAACGGACTACTAAACCCTAGACAACACGGTTTCAGTGAAAGAAAGGGAACACATACTGCACTAGCCATAATCACGGAAACGTTAGCCAACAAGAAAGCAGAAAGAAACCAAGTCAACATTGTATTAAGAGACGTTAAGAAAGCGTTTGATAAAGTATGGCACCTAGGATTAAAATTTAAACTGCTTCAGTTAAATCTTCCAGATCCACTAGAACAAATCGTCTGTGACTTCTTGAACGATTGCACGGCACAATTACAAATCGGCAGCTATATAAGACCACCCATAGAACTGGAAAGTGGAGTACCCCAAGGTATAGTGTCCTTTCACCCACGCTGTACAATATCTATACAGCAAACCTACCAGAACCAGCTGCCTACAGTGAATATATAAGTTTTGCAGACAATATCACACAAATTAACACAAACCCTGGCAAATCAACAGTAATAATGTCACAACATACGGCCAACGCAATAGAGAAAATCAACCAGTACGAAAAAAAGTTGAAGATACAAACCAACATCAATAAGTTCAAAGTAAGACCAATCGCTAAAAAGAAAACAAGACCCCATTATAGTAGATAATAAAGTAATTCCATATGCCATAGAAGGCACTGAAGGCACTGTCCGAGGGCTGATGATAACAACAAAAGGCTATAAAACATTCATCACTGAAAAACTAGTGTTATGCATGGCGTAAAGTACAGTGGTGCGTTGCGCTGTGGATATTGAAATATTTTTTTGGCATGCTACCCTTACAGTAAGTAATGTAAATAAGATATTTTTTTGTAATTGTGTGTGAGCAGGGCTGGTACTTGATACATTAAAACAATTTTTTTGTGTATGTAGTTATTTTTGTCCGCAGTGGTGGACAGTGGGAGCTGAGAAAGTGGGTAACATTAGAGAGGGTAGGACCGTTAAACTGGAGGGATGGTGGTGTGTGGTTGAACCAGTGGCAAGGTGAAAGAGAATCTGAATCTTATGTACATTCACCTCAAGGCCGAAGCGTGCCTACGCATCAGCATAGGTGTTCAGTAATGGAAGCTGCCGACACCTTTGTTCCTGCCTGGAGTCGTCTTATGTTGAAAAGTCCCTTCATCCGGTACTGGATATCCACCCCTCCGGCTAAATTAGCGCTGGTATACGTAAGGAAGCCAGCCAAGAAAATGGAAAAGAGAGTTGGTGCCAGTACACATCCCCGGTTTACCCCCAGATGGATGGGGAACTCAGACTGGGTGCCATTTATAGTAAGTTTTGTCAGATCAAGCCAAGCCAGTAGAAAAACATACATCTATGAGGATATTGTTTATAAAATGTGAGTATGCATTATCGCCTCAGGGGCTATTCTTGATACTACACATGATGTTACTGTCTATATTTGTCATCAGTTCTCTGTTATGGAAGCTTTGGTCTTGGCGGGAGGTGTAATGACTGTTTATCAGACCACAGCTTACAGCCCAGAGAAATACAACACATATAACAGTAAGTAGATGAGCAGGGGTCCACCCACATAAGTTGACACACCTTACAGTGACAGTAAGACCTGACCCAGGCGAGGTCAATGACAAGGTACCTGAGCTAACCCGGCGTTATGACCGTGTTACTAAAAAAACTACACCTGGGCAAACACCCGCTGTCCAGATCTAACTCAAGGAGAGGTCACGGTCTCATTGACACAGAGTTCTCACCTCCACGAGATTAGCTTAACCCGGTGACATGACCGAATTACACAAATCAATACACCTGCCACCTGACCAGACACACCCAGATTAGTGACGACATCTTCCGCTCACGTCAATATAAAGGCCCTGCAGCTCCGTCTCAGGCTCATTAGCAGGGAAGGAGCCGACAGGTTCTCCCCAGAGGGAGACTTCTCCTCCCCAGCACCGAGCCCCAGCTAGCAGAGTCTCCCACAGGAGACAGAGCCCAGTAACAACTGCATACAGCTTCCCCAGCCGCTGGGCCTCCTTCAGATCACACGTGAGTGTTTGTCTGAGCGATCTAAGGGTGAGTTACTTACGGTGGGAAGTGTATCTATTTCATGTTTGTGTCGAGAGTCAGTGTCTAGTAACTTCGATCTATTAATGTGTCTGTGTCATTCAGTTAATTAATAAATAGTTGTATTGAAAGTGGTGTTTGAGAAGATTCCCCCTACGAACATAATATACAGCTAAATTATTAACTGGCCATGCTTCCAAACTTCCTCACCCTACAATCCTACGACTATAAATATTCTACCTATATCTTCTATTCGAGTTTTGACTTGTTATACATTACAGTATGCAGGACACTGCCGTTCGTGCCTTTGCCTCACAATGGCGATGAGTTTCGGTGGGTAGCCAAAACGGATGAGGTTCGCCAGAGGGCTTCCTTGTTGTCCAAGTCGAAGGCCTTGGTAAGGTCGATGAAGGCCATGTACAGATCACGGCACTGTTTTCTGCACTTTTTCTGTATCTGGTGGGCAGCAAAGATCATGTCAGTGGTACCACGTGATGGTCGAAAGCCACATTTAGATTCTGGGAGGAAGTTTTCCGTGTCAGGAAGAATTCTGTCTAGGAGGACTCGGGCGATAATCTTGCCAGCTATGGACAGCGTCGAGATCCTGCGGAAGTTGCCATAGTCTGATCAGTCTCCCCTGTTCTTATAAATATTGACGATGGAGGCGTCTTTAAGAGCTTGTGGGATTTCTTCCTTCTCCCTATACTCTCCAAGAGAGAGTGGAGATGGCTGGTAAGCAGAGGTCCTCCTGCTTTATACACCTCGGCTGGGATTCCATTAGGCTGTTTGATGGCAGAAGCTACCTCATCCAGGGATGGAGGATAGCTGAGGTGAGTCAGCTCTGGATGCCGAGGGACCTGCTGAGAAATCAGGACATCCACATCGGTGTTTCGGTTGAGCAGCGAATGGTAGTGCTCTTTCCATCTCTGAAGGATGCCTTCTTCATCTTTAACTAGGGAGTTACCGTCAGATGAGTAGAGGGGGGCTGTGCCATGAGTGATTGGCCCATAAAATGTTTTATTGGAATTGAAAAGCTTGTGCATATAGTGTTGATGTGCAATTATTTGCGTTTCACACACTTTATTTTTCAACCATTTGTTCTTTAAATTGCGAACTTCGGGATGGGTCAACACTTTCTTATTGAGGTAGAGTTTGAGCAGAGCCAGAGGGCTGTTTCGCTAGTCAATTGAAGCAGCACGTTTATCATCGAAGAGTACGTTGATTTCCCGGTCATTTTCTTCAAACCAGTCCTGGGGTATTCTTTCGATCTGTCCGAGGGTCTCTTTGCAGGTTTTTGTCATGACTCTGACGAGAATACCCTATTCACCGCTGGGTTTTGGGTTGTTTGTTGTCGGGTTGTTTATCAACCTGTGTTCCAACTGCTCTCTGAAAACATATATTACCACTGGATCCTCCAGACGCTTATTGTTAATACTTCATCTGGAGACTTGTTGCCTTCGCCGTTTTGAGGCGATGTGAAG